ATATCCAACACATTAAAAAAATACATAATAGGTTGGAAGCTCTTCGAGGGCAAGAAAATGTTTTTGTGTTCACTGTTGCACCCTAGTATCTGTGTGTGTATATATATATATTTATATATATATAAAATACCATTTAGTATAAATAATAAATATTTCTTGAGTAAATAAATGGATATAAAGTTTGTTGCATGACTGAATGAAAGATGGATACTAATTTCTGCCCTAACAGTCACAGGGATATTGAGAGGGTCATACAAAAACATATATGTGACTGGATTTTATAAATTGAACAAATTTAAGGTGTTCCTATTGTTATAGTTCAAGCAGAACATGCTGGTTTCATTATCTTTGCTCTTAATTGCATTTATAAATACATCTATAGCATTTTGAATCATTCCATCTGCTTTCATCTGTTTAGACAGAAACTAATTAAAGGCTGTTTAGCTCTAAATAGCTTTCTATACTTTGAACTAGAAATGGATTTTCCCCATTTGATATCTAATTAATTAAAAAAATCTAGGGCTAAAGACTAGACATATGTACCATTAGGTTGACTACCACAATATTTTATCAAGGTTGATTATAAAAATATTTTATTATTTTCAAGAAATACGGCTTTTTGAAGGCTCTGGGTTTTTCTGAACCTGTTATGAGGGGTTAAATGCTGTCACAAAGAGCATTCAATTTGATGTATAGGGCATATTATCACAGGGAAGTGTACTGTCATATGGCATTATGACACTTGAACTCCAGGGAGAAATTTGGGTCGAGTGTCTGGTTAATATGTTCCAGCCATCTTCCTGAAGCTGCTTAATGCTTGCTGTGTTTTGACCCTAATTCTCCTAAAGCACATTTCTCCTCCCTCCTACCATGTTTTGAACTCCCATTGATGCATCATTAAAAGTTGGGATAGATCCAGAAATGAAAACATTTCTTTGGATTTTACATCTAATTCTATCCCAACTTCTAAAAGGTGAATGGGACAACTATTTTTAACAGCCTTTAATGAAACATATTTAATTTTTTCAATCATGTGGTCAGAACTTCTTACAATAAATGAAATACAAGCTATTATGGTTTAAACTCATTTTGTTTACTGACCTCAGAGGAAAAAAAGAAAGCTTGCCACGATACCCTGAAATGTTTATATCTGATAGCTCCATTATAACAAATTTATTTGGATTGCACAGATCCAGCTACAAGGTGAGCCACATGATATCTCCAAATGGATCATAAAATTAAAAAAAATACATATGGTTGTCCCAAGTGCCAAAATGGCAAGTAATAAAGCTTTTCTAACTTTTGGAAGATCGTTAGGCCACTTCTTAGAATAAATAATCTGTGCTCTTGAGGAAAAGACAGAGGTCATCTGTGGGTCCCATGCTCCTTGTTAGATACTCTGAAATAACACTTTTCCTTGACTGATATTTGTGAATCCCAGGGTGCTGCCCTCCCAAAAGCTCCATCCCTTAACATTTGGCTATTTCCTCTCCCTCAAGATTTGCCCTCATTGAACAAGACTTGCCCTCTATTGCTAAGTTACTGATGCTAAAATATGAGGATGGAAATTGAATTAGTCAATCATATGATGTTGTGAGCCTGGATATTTGAAATCTGGTGGCTGAGACATCAAGTAATACAAATATTCATTTTGATTTAAATATCTAAGAATCATGTAGATACTTAAGCCCACTTGACAGGAACTCTTCATTCAGAAGAGAAAGACCACTGCTAGGTAACTTCAGTCTCATAAGAATTGGCAGTCAACCATGATTTTTCACTGTGACTGTTACTCTAATTTCTAGCTGACTCCTTAGAGACAATGTTGTCCGAAATAAAACATTTGGTCAAATTAAGTGCCACAGTCACTATTCCTCTTCCCTTCTCCTTCTTCCTCTCTACATTCCACCTAGACCATTTATGAAGGACGGGTTTTTGTGTCTTCTGATCTTTTAAAACAGGGATTTTGTGTGTGTGTGTGTGTGTTTGTTTGTTTTAAGTGGGCTCCACGCTAGGCTTGAACTCATGACCCTGAGATCAAGACCTGAGATCAAGAGTCAGATGCTTAACTGACTGAGCTACTTAGAAGCCCTCTAAAATCGGGTTTAAAATGGAATAAAAACCAGTTTCCAAAAAATCTATAACTCTGACAAGGCTGTGGGAACCTTTTAAGGATTTAGAAATAGGTAGTTAGCAAAAGGTTACTTATCACATTGTTTAGACCAGATTTCCCATTTGGGCAAAATTTCTAATTTTCCAACTTGAAAATTGTACTACATATATGTGGGAATTCTTGCTTAGAGGCTGATATTCATTTGAAGTTGACAAAAGAATATCTATCTATTTAACAAACACAACCCACTTTATTTTTAAATAGTGCCATCTCTAACAGCTTTGGTATTGCCTTTGTGGATATGATAGAACAGATAAAATAGTTCATTAGTATTAATATTTATAGAAAACATGGGGAAATGAAGAAATAATTTGAATGACCCAACCAATGAATTATCAAATCATTTATACAGATTTTGAGTAAGGAAACACAGAAAATGAGGTAACCCCAAAATATAGGTGGTTGCCATTACTTCTGGTCCAAGTCTCGGCAGTGACACAGTGAGTGAAGCCCATACTATTAGACCAAGTATTTGGGGGGTGGATAGAGAAGTGCAGAGCAAGCAGAGGATGCAGGATTAGAGACCACCACAGAGCTGCTGGAGAAGAGATTCTGCGGTTGAGATTTGTTTTCCTCTCTCCCCACTCTCGTCCCCTAGGGTCATTCTAGATCTCAGTTCTCTTTCCTTGTTTATACCACTGCTATACTTGACCCTGGTGTGTTCCTATTGCTTACTAGGCAAACACAAGTGCTTAGAAAGTCTCTTTCATTGAGACCTCACTAGTATTTGATGGTAGGAATAAATGCCTTGAGTTGTTTAAACTTTAACATATGCTCATTGGTTACCGTAGAGGTGTAAGAAATGCTGTGATTATGACCCAAGCCCCTGATTTTCTATTTCTATCTTCCTCTTTCCTTGGGTCTGTCCCCTAGTCTTTGACTTCTTTTTTATACTTCCTTTCCTCTTCTTCCACATCTTTCCTTCTTTAATCGTCTTCTATACTTTTATTGGTTCTTCTTTCATTGATCCTTCTCAGTTTCCATTTTTAACATTTTTTTTCCCTGCTCAATACTTTTACTACTATCCCTGGACAAACCCAATTCCCAAATAATAATATAACTAAGGGGAGCACTGAGCACACACAACAGCAATACTGGAACATTTACAATACCTACCAACTGTGCCATTAGCTCAAGACAGAAAATAAGCTGAAAGGATGGAGTGACACTAACTTCCATTGTTTTATCATCTTGTGTATAAGTTCTGCTGTGCTTAAGGAGCATAATTCAGGTAATAAAACCTTTGGCAGGGTGTTGTTTCATAGAGGCAACAATATCCTGTAGAAAATGAAACCAGGCAGGAAGTCAGGAGATAATGGATCCTGTTCTTCCAAACACTGGGTAACCTCCGGTAAATAAGTCCTGCACTGTGGACCCCACCTCGGTTTGCTATTTTGTAAACCCTAATATCTGATAGACCTGTGTGAAGGATTAATTAGATAATATACATAAAAATACTTCGTTCTTTAGAAGGGGAGAACTGTGATGTAATAATCCAGTATTTATCATCTGTTCATCAGATAACATGATTTGGTGATTCTGTCACACAAAGAACAAACATTTTTATTATCAAATTTGGGTTAACTCACTCCTAGGCTGCAGAGCTGTTGGAACCACCATTCCTGGGACCTAATCAATTATTGTCCCTTCCTAAATAGTCTTTTGGCTTACCAGGCTTTCTGAAACTTCTTCTTGTAGTAGTAGATTTGCTCTTCTCCAAAGCCCTGAGCAGCCACAAGAAAGCATTCTTAAGTCTTCTAAAATTCTATGATTATTTGAAGAGCAGAAGAGAATCAGATGTGTGTGTGTGTGTGTGTGTGTGTGTGTGAGTGCACGCACACACGTGCACACATGGGTGCTTCCAACAACAGAGAGGTCCCTGAAGATAGAGTCAAACATTGAGAAAGGGATATATGCTCTTAGTCTCCTTTCATAGACCTTGTTCCTCAATTAGTCACTGAAACAAGAGGACTTCTCCATCTTGGGCCTGAGGGGCAGTTGTGAGTGTGTGAAAACCTTTTAAACATCCAATTTCATGGTATACATGCTAGAAAAATGATTTTTTTCTCTTCTTTCTGATCATTCAGTTTGAACCTACTCAGAAAAGCTGCTGATTCATTGGACTATGAAATACAGACTCTTCTTAAGAGGCATTTCCTGTAGTAGCCCATTTCCAATTATGTAACGTGCTCTTCTGCTAGTCAATTCATAACTCTTTAAAAAGCTCCTTTAAAATTCTCAAGTTCACTTGTAACTCTGAGGGGAACTCTACACAGACCTTCAAAAATCAAAATCTTTTATGACAACACATTTCTAGATTCATTTAATAATGCCACTCTCAGAAAACTTCACCTTTTGGACCCTCCCCTCCCCTTTGCTGTGGTAAAAGAATATAAAAAATTCTATTAATAAACAACTTTAAGCATTCCTTCACTGAAAAAGTCTGTAGCAAAAACCAAACATAAAATGAATAAAAAGGTCATAAACTCAGTATTTTAGATCCATTTCTCAATTTTTGTCTAAACACATTATGACCAAGTAGCCTCTACTTACTTTCATGCATATATACATATATATATATATTTACACACACACACACACACACATATATATATACTTAAATGTATATATTTTAACAACATGGAATGGTAACATCAAATGCTTAGGTTCCGTGCAAACACATAACCCTTCCTGTGAAGGAAACATATTAATATCATAAAAACAAATCATGGAGAGTAACATGCAACAGCTGAGGGGAGGAGAATGGGGTTGGGGCAGGGGACCCGGAGAAACACAAAGAATGTAAAGAACAAAAAGTGTCATTGACCTGATTTGTCAGAGCTGTTGCCTGTGATTGGAGTGATGGAGCAGCTGGGATTAGCCTTTGCGCTGTCCTTGGAAGAAACCATTTTGGGTTTATTTTTCGTTGCCTCTAGTGCTTTGACCTTCTTGGCATGTTTACTTCCTTTGTAGTGGGCCTCGGCCTGGCTCTACAAAGGAGAACAAATCAGGCTCATTTTTTTGCTACTTACAAACACCACAATGGATGATCATGCAGGAAAATACACATTCAATCATAGGCACCACGGACATTTACTACTCAGCACTCAACTATGTTTTTGGCATTTAATGAAGTGGTAGACCAGTTCCTAAGGGGGTGTTGCATATTGAAACCTTCTCTACAGCACAGAGGACCTGTGTCTTTAAAAACCAGACATTATTATGAGTAGACAACAGGGCCAGGGCACAATTGTGATGCCTTGTGCCCTCCCACCACTGCCCGTTGGGGTTACTTTCAAACATTGAGCTGGCAACAAGCTGCTGTGAGTGTCCTTCCACAACATTCCATTTTGTTTCCCTTCAGCTAAAAACCTGTTTGCCCTGCATCTACTTTCGTCTAGGCTCTGCTCTCTCCAAGAGCAACTGATGTAACACAGCAACCTGCTGTGAGTGGAAATGGAGCTACATTTTAGAATCATCTACATGTGCTTCACGCAGCATTTTGAAGATCCCACTTCCAAGAATGGATAATTTAAGCCACAAAGGAAGGACAGTCCTTGTTTCTAATCTCAGAAGTGATTCTGAAGTCAAAGCAGTTCGTGTTACGTTCACTTACATGCAAAGCATAGGTGGAACTGTGACTTCGTTACTAGATCAAAAGGAAGAAAAGAGATCAAGACAAGTGACTACTAAAAATCTTTAAAAGACAAAAACAAATTACAGGAAAACAAGAAAACATTTAATTAATTTATTGGTATTTGGAAATTTTCTCTCTGCCTAAAGAATAAGGATTTTATATTTTGGACATCTAGCATGAATACACATATTAACAAAAGAATCTAAGTATATTCGCTTCAATTTCATTTTCAGTAGACCCTGAAAATAAAAACATGCATTTGGCAAAAACAAAAAAACAAATGGAGACATATATTATATGGCATATTAGCTTAGTTATAAAGATGAAATGGATGATAAACATCATAAAGTGAGTTCTCATTACAAAATTTCTAAAATAATAACTTTTTTTAATGTCCATTTTCCTTATACACGTGTATGCACTTGAAGATGATTATACTAATGTTTTCATTCATTTTCCTCAGCAAGCAGAATACAGGTGGGGTGTGTGTGTGTGTGTGTGTGTGTGTGTGTGTGTGTGAGCACATGTGTAAGTAGGTGGGTAGAAGTGACAATGGACAGAACAAGCCAGGTTTTAATTCTATATTTCAACTAAAGGGATGTACGTGATTTCCTTAGCATAGAACACTGACCATCCAAGGTCAATAGCCTTATATTGACTGCACACAGTACCTAAGTTACTGAATATCTTTTCATAAATATCATTGTAGATCATCACTGACTTGTAATTGCTCTTAAGTTGGTTGGCTCAAGGATTTCTCATAGTATTCTCTGTCTGGTTGGAAAAAATAACGGTCCCAAGGGACAGAAAAGTGGAACATAAGTTCTTTACTTATTAGGAACCAAGAATGCTTAAATCCAGCTAAGGTAGATGGTTGGATACAAATAAGAAAATATACAAATAAAAACTTAGAAGTTGATAACATGAAGTGATAATAATAGTGACTAATATTATTGAGTGTGCCAAGCACAGTTCTAAATGTATAGCTCATTTAGTCCTCATAATACTCTGTGAGGTAGGTTATTATTATTAATCAGATGGAAAACTAGGCAGAGAGAAGTTAAATAACATCGAAAGTCACACAGGTAGATGTAGAAGGCATTTTGTCGATCTGAAATGCTTACATGGACACCCCTATTTAACTGTATGCCCACACAGTTACATACACATACTCACACTAAGTTAACAATATAATTTTAATAAAAGGAAAAAATACACACAAAGAAGCCACACTGCTTTTAATGACTCAGTGAAGATTATGTCTTAACAGAAGTTTCTATGAGTAGGAAAAATCGACTGAATTCATGGGAAATATACTAGCATAGTATGTTAGGCCTGCTCCTTCCTGAAGAGCTAAGGAAGTCCCATCTTTTGGGTATATAACAATTTCTACATGATACCAGGAGACCTAACAACTCATCTTTCCAAGTATACTAAATAGTGCGATGTTACTTTAGTGCCCTCCGGCTAAAGAAACATATGGTTCTCTAAATAAAACCTCCTAGCACTAGATAAGCGGAGTGTCATTTCCTCATTACAATTTCCTGGCATCACTGCAGAAAGTTAACAGCATCAATTAGCACTTGAGATAAAGATCCAGCTAAGTGACACCTCCCTGGATGCCAAGATGGAAAGAACTCTTCATAGCCACGATCCACTTTCCTTTTGAGTTCTGGGGCACGGAGAGAAGTGCAACAAGGGAGCTTAGCTTCTACTCGATGTTATTTGGGAAGGACTCATGGACTAAAGATAGTGGCCGGCACCACTCACTCACATTTGGCATCTTTTCAATTCCCGTTTGGTATTCTTGGTAGGAGCACTTTGCTATCCTCAGTCCTGTATCTGGGGCGGTGTCAACGGCTTCTAAATCCTGGGCAAATCTTCAAGTGAAACTGAGACACTGTTAAATAGTAACACGATTAACCTGACTTCCTTATCTAGGACTCTTCTTCGTTGAGCAGTGAAAGAAACAAGGACGAGAGCCAGAAAATCCCTGAACTAGGCAGCACAAATCAAGCCCAATTGACAACGGCTCTTGTGTCACTTCTGAGAGACCTGGTTGACCAAGCTGACTTACTTTACACACCTCAGCCACTGAACAGGAGACACGTATTTGTCTAGCTCTAATGGTCCGCTTTCTGCTTCTCTGCCAAAAGTGCTGTTGTGCCCCTGACTGGCAATGGTCCAAGAAAACTTTCTTGCCAAGAACTGTCTGAATTCGAGAGTTGCCTAAGCCACCATATTGACCTCCACAAGAGAATTCCTCAGGATTGAGGTTTTTGTCTCACAGATCACCCCAGGAGCAACCAGACCACCTACTGGTAGAGGAAGAGCTTTGATAGGAAATGACATCCTGGAATTTTCTCTTCTGTTTATCTCCACGTTTGTTACTAAAGGCTTTTGCTTTCCCAAATCCTCTCCATCTCTCAGGACCCCCCTGGTCCAAACAAAAAAGATAAAGAATGGGATGATGTATTGCTTTAAAAATAAAAACATAACACTAAATATTTCTAAAATTCACTGTGCTCCCATTTCTGGTTTTTACCTTATTTCTAATTTGGACTTTAGGGACATGCCTAGGATCTTGAAACACGATGTTAAACTGTGTTCACCTTGTATAGAAAGGACACTCCCAAGCACAAACTTACAAAGTGTCCGGGGAAGAGCAATGTTACTAGAGAAAGTCCTCAACCATTTATTTACCAGTGGAACTCAGCTTGTTGCATTTAAAAAAATAATTAGAACTCTTCTCTTCCTTAAAGAAAGTGAATCATTCTAACTATTGGTGCCTAATTTTCTGAGACCTTAGATTTCAGGATGTTAAGCAGTGTTATATGGGAAATAGCAGAGGTCAGTTAATTTTCAGAGAAGCTCTATACACTAAAATGTCAAATAGAAAAAGATGTCAAATGAACCACCATAAAAACAGGCTACACCAACAAGGGGAAAATGTTCTTATTATTGCACAAAGACCCCTACTTACAAGAGTGGTTGGAAGGAAAAGACGTGCATGCAAAGAACTACAACTCAAAGCAGAGAGTGGAATTATAAAATGGGATGTAAAGAGCAACAAAGAAGCCTAGAAGTTATAGGAGAGGTAAAGCTCTCTGGATTGGAGGTGATCACGGAAGCTTCAGGAAAAAGAGGCATCACAGCTGGGGCCTGCCCTGGGGGGCAGGGTTCTAAAGCAGCAGAAGGGCGGAGGGGGAGGTATTTCAGGCAAAGGGAACAGCATGTGCTAGGGTAGTGAGGTCCTGTGAACTCTGCCGCATTCCCTGGGCACGTCCGCTTCTCAGCATCACCAGAACACAGACAGATAAAAGGAACAACAGGGAAAGGCTGCTGCATCGTGCTACCCTGAAAGTTATTATCCCCTGTAAAACAGAAAATGTATAAGAGTGTCCTTATATGGTTATAAAGTGAGATGTGGCTTTTGCATCACAGACCTTATCCTCTGCTCCAAACTATAATCCTATATTAAAACAACAACTAAATTATTTATATTGAAGCTTTAATAATTATTTGAGATAAAAGCATGGCACTTAAAAATACTACAGCTAAGCATATTAAGGAACAAACTAAAGATTACTGAGTATTAGCTAAATAACTATTTGAATTTTTCCTTTAACATAAACTATTATTAACGATTAAAAGGCTGTTTGCAAACACTTGCTGCGCTGACAAAATCACACACTCTCAGAGACAAAGCTACCGCGTATGAAACATAACATGCACCCAAGAACAAGGCTTACTTAACCCAGAGATGGCTGGTAAATCTTTCTGCTGCTATTTGCCATTGTAAGGCCTACAATATCAGTAACGACACACCACCGGCTTTGATACTCATTTCATTCAATCCTCAATCTATTGAGATCTGTTGAAAACAATGTCTAGACAAAAATCATAACCAATATGAGGTTTTTAGCGTAGAAGGACGTAACGTTTTTGCTAATTTCTACTTTATAGCTAAGTGAAACACTCCAGGTTGCTAGAGCCTCTCCGGAGTTTGCCACATTGCAGAGCTCCGGGAGTGAGCGAATGGTGGTGATCTCTGGATTCCTGTGAGGCCAGGGTTCGAACTGGCCACGGCCTTTCATATTCAATGGCTTTACAGTACGAATGCAGAAAATCCCATCAACTCCAAATATTTCTAGATTACTAAAGAGAAACCTAGTGGCTCTCTAGGAAGAAATGATGTGCATGTTAGACTGCTAACGCTCTTTGGGCCTGATTTACATTCTATCAAATATCATTAGACAAAAGTGGAGTTCTTTAGCCGCGGCTACTTTAAAATGCCACTATTTGAATACATGAGCATCACATATATATTTGTTCACGTTATCAAAACATTCC